GGGGGTGTCTGGGGCTGGGGGCCGGGGTGACGCGGGGCCAGGCGTTGGAGCGAGGCGGGAATGCGGCGTTCTCTGAGTCATCGGCGTTTCTGAGAAGTGTCGGGAGACACTTGCCCCATCCCTGTGGGCCCCGAGCCCGGCACGGTGCAGCTAGATCCCCTCCCAGGGCTTGGCAGGGTCCCGGGGGACCCCTGGGCACGGGAGATTTGGGGGGTCCCGGTGGCCCCAGACCCCTCAGCGGGGCTGTCCCGGCCCCTGCGGCAGAGCTGGCTGGGAGGGACGGGGTCCTCCCTGGCCGGCCGTGGGCGGCCGAGCAGGCGGCTGGGTGGGACGTGTTTGCATTGGAGCGGCCTGGTTTCGCCGGGGGGGTTGGCAGCGGCGTGGGGGCGGGTGCTGGGAGCCCCGGAGCTGCGCTCCCGCCGGGCCGGCCCCCCTGCCTGGGGCACCGCAGGGACCGAGCCGGCTCAGCACCACGGCTGAGCCCCCGGCTGCCTGGGGAGGGGGGGAGGCCGTGGGACCCCCATGCCTGGGGAGGAAGGAGTTATGGTTGTTTTTTTTTTTTTTAGCGCTGCTGGGAAGCGCCCAGCACCATGGGCTTGGCGTGGGTTTGGGGTGCTCTGGTTTCTCCCAACGCTGGCGAGGGGTCAGGCAGGACGCAGGCAGGGCGCAGGCAGGTGTGAGTCAGATGGAGTGGGGAGGCGGTCTCGGGTGCCTGCTGACGTCAGGGGGCCCTGGGGAGGTGTGTGGGGCTCCCCCGGGCAGACCTGGGTACAGAGCGAGGGCAGCCGAGATGCCAGCCTTGGAGGAGGATGGTGGCAGGGGCTGGGGTGGGTGCTCCTGCCCCGGCCGCTTCCCCCCGCCATGTGGGATGGGGCCGGGAAGGCTGTGAAAAGATCCCGCTCCCCACTCAGGATCTCAGTGGGGGGAAGAATGGGAACTGCCCTGCCCACCCTGGGCATGGGGCTGGGCTCCACTGGGTGACAGGAGCGGGCCGGTCCCCTTCCCCAAGCATGGTCTTTGCACCCCAGCTGGGAGAGCGGCGTGCCAACCTGGTTTGAGGGGTCAATGGGGTCCCTGTGTTTGCCCCGTGGGAAACGTCCCACCTATGCTGGCTCCGAGAGCAGCGGCAGGGCTGGGGTGGTCCAGCAGCCGTGTGGGGCTGTGGGCAGCCGCTGCCTGCTGCTGCCTGCCCTGGCACTGCTGCCCGCAGCGGGGATCTGCGCAGGAGTCGTGACGGCTGCACCGGTGATGCCGGAGAGGCTGTTGTGGCTGGAGCTGGGGTGGTCGTGACCGAGCGGTTGGGAAGAGGCGCCGCGTTCACGGGGGGACGGAGCTGCCGGCTGGGGACGTGTCCATCCCCAGCTGCTGCGGGCAGGGGAACCGAGGCAGAGTCTGAGCCGTGGGGCAGGACGGGGGCTGGGGTGAGGCTTTTCTGTGGCCAGGTGCTATGTGCATGCACACGCGTGTGCGCATACATGCCCGTGCGCACGCCCGCCGTCCTCTCCCGCCCCCTCGCCCCGTAACCTCCGTGTCCAGAGCTGCAGTGTCTCCTTCACGCCCACCTCTTCCTCTGCAGCCTCCGCCTGACATGCTCGGGGCTTTGCTGCTGGTATTTTTAAAGCTGCTTTTCCCACGGCTTCTCAGAACCGGCCTCCGCTGGAACGGGGCGCGGGGGAGCCGGGATGGGGCTGTGTGGGGGGGCCATGCTCTGCAGAGGTGCTGGCCCTTGGCTGGGAAGGGGGTGGGCGCAAGGGGGGTGATGGGGGAACGCGGCTCTGCGGGTCCGCTCGGGACCCCTCGCCTCGTCCTGCCGCGGGCGACGGCTGCGCCCCGAAGGTGCCAGTGGGGGTGTGGGTGGGTGACGTCTGCCGGGAGCCGTGCACGGTGCTGCACGTGACGGGCTGGGAAAGCCAGTCCTTGCTGTGCCCTAGAATAGCTCGGCTGGGGGGGGCGGTGGTGGCA